TGTGTGTGTGTGTGTGTGTGTGTGTATGTGTGTGTGTGTGTGTGTGTTTGTGTGTGTATGTGTGTGTGTGTGTAAAATATGTATATATGCATTTACGTATATTTAATGTATATATATATGCATATGTAACGTATATTTATATATATATGTATATAATGTATATGTGTGTGTGATTGTATAACTATCCCTTGTACCTACCATAGCTGGTGTATATGTACGCATGCGTTTGAAACCTATACACTAAGCCCAAAATGTGTGTGCTCGGGATTAAATGGGGGAATTTTCCACAAACCTGCGAGATGTTTCTCCAGAACATCAGAGAGTCTCTGAACCTCCATGCCGTACCGTGCTACACCATAGTCGCGCGCTGCACCTTTATCTGCCGGGGCGTAAACCATAAAGTGACCGAAATTGCCAGTCATGGGCCCCTGTCCAGCCATCTGTCGAACAAAAATGGTCATTTATATCAGATGATATTAGCTTATCGTTGTTGTTTATGTGTTATAAACCGCAGCATAACCTTAGATGTCGGTCGATTTCTACTCTTGCCAAATAACATTGATACATAAACGCACTAACTAAAACTCTCATGTTTGATACAAGAGATTATCGAAGGGCGCTCCAATGATCATCTTACTCAGAGTATAAAACGGAACAGACTCTGATAAACGTGCGTTCGTTGATACGAACGAATAAGTTGGGCTTCTTTGCTCCGAATCGGACACCACTACACTGCTTGCGACTATACTCACATCAGAACTACAAACCAAATTTAAAACTTAGTATAACAGCTACAAATTGCACGCGTGAGAGACCATCAAGAACTACACAACCCCCACGTATAAAGATCGACTACACAACACCCACAAATAAAAAACGACTTAGGAGTATAGTCTACTGCGCTAAATAGTCAAAACACAGTATATTTGTCTCGCGAAAACAACTAGAGAAATCGAAGCCAATTATACACACAAATTGAATCGAATTGTGCCCTTAAATTGAAGTCATATGGGTATATGCGTAAAATCAAATGTATCTTGTACCTGCCAGAAAATCCAGTTCATGACTTCGGCTTTGAGACGAGGGTCGCTAGGTAGGAACATGTTATACTTCTCGGCCAAATAGAGCACTATTGATGCGGACTCGAACAGGTGAATGGGCTTGCCGTCAGGTCCCTCTCCGTCAAGCATGCATGGGATTTTCGAATTGGGATTGATGTCCACAAATCCTTTGTGGAATTGCTCTCCTTTTGAAATGTCGATCTTGTGTGCATCGTACTTGAGTACGCCGGCCTCAGAGAGCTCTTCAAGCATGATCGAAGCCTTGATCCCATTAGGTGTAGCCAACGAATACAACTGTATAGGAGACTCGCCCTTAGGCAACTCTACATCATCTCTTGCCCCAGCTGTAGGTGCGTTGATCGAGGCAAACTTGTTACCATCTGCATTTTTGTAGAGGTCTTCGATCTTTGAGGGAGGTGTCCAGTCGGTCATATTCGGAAAGTTCTAATGTACAAATTGTGTGCTTTAAATTTCTTCTCGCGTGCTGTTTAGTGTTTGGCCTGTTGATATTCTCAACGTTCATATATAAATATATACATCCCATATTTATTTATTTTTTAAATTCGTTGAATCGTTGTAAATAATATTATAGAGCCATATTATGTCTGTAGAGCCATATGTACAATGAATCAATGATACAAACAACAACCAATTGCAATCAAATGGACATCATTCGTAAATCATAGTCAGACTATACAACACTAAAATAAGCTACCTAATATATACAAACACAATTTGGCGCCAAGAGTCTTCTATTTTGGCCCATCATTTTGACAGTCAGTCGTGAGACTCGTGAGTCGTGGCACGGGTGCGAGCGAATCAGCGAAGCTCACATTCTTGTTTTTCGCGTCGGATTAACGGAACCCCAACCAAAAACAAACATTCGGGATTCAGGAACCTGGACTTCTCTCCGGTCTAAGCTAAAAAAAAAATGTATTTTTGTTTTGAAAAACAAAACAGATTTATACATATATACAAAAAAAAAAGACTTATAAATATATTTTTTTGAAATAGTCTTTATTATTTTGTGTTATCGAGACGCGATGTATCTCGAATTGTGATCATATGCCCAACAGTGCCAGTGGTTTTAAAAAAAACCCTACGTTTGAACCATTTATTTGAACGTACTATCCAAAACCCTAAATGAAGGAAGAATCAGGCTGATCTGGTTCAGAGGGAGATGAAGAAGTTTTTGCTGGCTACAGAAAGAGAATGTAAGCGACAAGACAGGAATATGGAGAAGGAGCAGAGGGATGCGGACGCAGCACCAAAGCGGAAGGATGCAGAACTGGCAAAATTTACAAAGAAAGCTGCACCGATTGTTCAAGCAGCAGCTAAGGTTTCATTAACAGAGAAACAAGCCAAGAAAGTTGGCAAGTATACTGATGATCTGTGTGTCTCTTGTCAGAGATATAGCTCGAGTATGAAAGAAAATTCATAAAACGCATTCAAGGGCAACGTGTGAAGGAACATGCGCAACTGATTCTATCGCGTATAAACCGGTTGCAGATAGAGTCTAATCCAGAGACTGGGCATGTTGATGGTGCCGCTATGCTATCGATACTCTGGGAGGATATATTTCAACAACAAAAAGTGCGAGTCTGCGATTACAGCGGGCCAGACACCCATCCTCAACAAGATTGGTTCCACTGAGAGAATATGAACTCGTTTAATTTATAGCAGCTTACTATTGTAAGATTCGGTCTATCAAGGCGTTATTAACACCTTAGAGCAATTAAACGCGTAGGTTAAGTCTAAGTATCGTGAAATTCAAAGTAAATAAACGAAATGAGTCTTTTGGTAAAATTAGGTATGCCTCGTGAAATCAACAATACTCTGAGGGATTGTGAGGCTGAGACATAGCCTATATATAATCCTCTCAGTACTGTTTTCGCCGAAGGGATTTTATTTAGTGTTTCGTTGTCGCTCTATTAGAAACTCTGGTGTTTCGTTGGGACGAATCCGAGAGACTCATAAAATCCTATTTTTAGAAAAAAAAGAATAGAAAAAGAAGAAAATAACTCTTGATGTCCATAGTTAGTGCATTAACCGATAACTTGCCACTTATCAAGAATTACCGACTTAGCCTTCATCAGACTGGCACATCTGGTTGGCTGAACGGAGGTTAAACTAGGTAACGCTAATAGTCCCTAGAAACCTATATTCGGTTGAGCCATCTCGCTACCGAAGTATTCAGATATAAATAGATTTAAAAAGTAAATATAGTTCTATTAATAGAACTAAACCAAATCTTATGTTTGATATTTTACTGGGGCCTTTTAATGGCCTTGTCCAAATATCTGATATGTAAAATGGAAAAGGTATTAATTAATAAAACCGTTATAACCCATTTAGGAAACTTAAGTTCCTTGTACTATTAAGAGTACGTTTATAGTTTACGTACTGCTAAAGAGTACGTTTATTACATAGAGTCTAATGTGGAGGCTCGACTATTGCACTGGGAGAAGCGAAAAAGCCGATGGCATGGCTTGAGAGAAATTAGTCTTGTTTAGCGTTCATTCTTGGGTGTCCAAACCGGGCGGCGGAGGACGGATGAGGATTACCTTATCTTTTGCTGTTATCTTTAGGGGTGTTGTGTGGCTCCGACATCCTATGTTACGATGGTATTCGTCGTAAGTTTGAGCCTTGTTGAGGGTGACTGTGGTGACCAAAAGAGTGTGTGGACTTGAGGAGGGCACAGGTGGGTGTGGACCGTCTGCAGCGGGACTGTTGGGGGTAGTTGTGCCATAGGAGCAGGTTGTAGGGTATGTGTCGCTGCTTGAGACGAGACGAGGTTGGCCTGCTTTTCGTAGTGAAGACGTTAGCCTCCCTGTGTCCGAGGGAGGGTTAGCTGGCGATAGACGTAGCTGATATGGCAAAACTGGCGGTTGTCAGCAAATATAAGTGCGAATCCTGTATCTTGGACCCAGATCTTGTATACCAGCTGTTGCTTCACTTGATCACTGACATACGTGTTAGAAAGGGGTTGAAGTGTTCCACGAGTGGTAATCTGACGTGTACTGTCATCGGCGAGTAGAAGGGTGAAAGAACCGTGTTCTAACTTCTTAAGGATATATTCAAATTTTGTATGTAAGAGGTTCACAGTGGCGCTTTCGTCGATAAAGAGGTCAGAGTTGAACCGTGGGGTGGAGTAGGGGTGAAACTAAGCAACTTCTGGTCAAACATAAGGGCAATTTACTTTTTTTGGATCGTTTGGAACAGACTTTATCGATGTGGCCCAGCTTTGAACAAACACTGCATTATAGAGTTGTATCTGTACAACTGGCGCCGGTATGACCTTTTTGGGCACACTTTCCACGCGCACACGAGCAAAAATTGGCCCTGTGTGAGTCTTCCCAGCATACGAAGCTTGGATTCCGCGGAGGTCATGTGTCTATATATCTTGCAGAGATAGAATAGAAGTGCCCAGGAGTCCTCGTTCTGTTCAAGAGAGGTGAGGGAATCTGATATTCCATCCGATAAGGAACATATGTGGTGTGTATGGGCCTTGTGTTAGGTGCCATCGGCAATAGCTTTCTTTCGGAATACAACGGCTTGTTCGACTCCAGCTCTATCAAGGCCGGGGGTGCGTGAGACCACTGGGGTAGTTTTCTGGCGAGCCAAGATCTTTTTCTTGAAATGTTTGAAGTTGAGGGCCGCTGGGATGTCATCTTGGAACTTGCCCGAAGCTGAGGTGTAAATATAAGAGAGCCATTTGTCATGATTGTGGCCGTCGAAAGCGAGGCGGGCTCACTTGATACGGATTGAGTCTGAGGTGGTATAGTCCGAAATTGAATTCATTTTTTATGTGTAAAATAAATTAATAAAATGTTTATTAGGGTAAAAATAAATGCACATGCCCTATTAATGTAAGATTTGGTTTAATAAAGGCGATTCTAATGCCTTAGAATAAATAAACGTGTAGGTAAATTATATATATCGTGTAAATATCGATATAAATAACCGAAATGAGACGCTTAATAAAGTTAGGTTTGCCTCGTGAAAACAGCAATACTCTGAGGGATTGTGAGGCTAAGACATTGCCTATATATAATCCTCTCAGTACTGTTTCCGCCGAAGGGATTTTATTTAGTGTTTCGTTGTCGCTCTATTCTGGGGCGAATCCGATAGACTCATAAAATCCTATCTTTAAAAGAAGAAAATTTACTCTTGACGTCTATAGATATTGTCTTCACCAGTAACTTGCCACTATCAAGAATTACCGACTTAGCGTTCATCAGACTGGCACATCTGGTTGGCTTATCAGAGGATCAACTAGGTAGCGCTAATAGTCCCTAGAAACCTATATTCGGTTGAGCCATCTCGCTACCGAAGTATTCAGATATAAATAAAATTGGAAAGTAAATAAAGCTCTATTAATAGAACTAGACCAACTCTTTTATGTTTGGTATTTTACTGAGGCCTTTTAATGGCCTCATCCAAATATTTGATATGTTAATTGATAAAACCATTAAAAACCATTTTAGGAAACTTAAGTTCCTCGTACTATTAAGAGCACGTTTATAATTTGCGTACTGCTTAAGAGTACGTTTATACATAGAGTCTAATGTGGAGGCCCGGCTTATTACACAGCCCCCACCCAGCTTTGAGACCCAAGAGAAGCAAGTTGCTCACTCAAGCAGATTATGGGTCAAAAAGCGAGAAAGGAAAAAACGGGTCGAAACATTAAGTAGCATAACATATAGTTAATGTTTCTCAGGCGGAGAAGTTAAGTGTTCTCGGTTACCCTGTGAGTTTTGGGCCTAGGACCAGTAGGTCCGTGGTGGTCGACTGGACGTTCCTTACGCTTGTAGGCGGATAAGTTTTAACTTCCCTTCCTTCAGACGATGGAAACATGTTATCTTTTTCAGCTTGTGGCTTATGCAGGCGTTTACGCCATTTTTGATTAAAGGCTTTTAAATAGTCTTGGTTATCGAAAGCATCTGAAGTCTACTCAGCTATTGTACCGTCTATAAAGCGTGTACGATAGTATGTATAGCTTCCCTTATCCGTTCTTCATATAATGTCTTTAAATTCAGAACGATCAAGAGGGGCATTAGAGTCATGTCTTCTTGCGAGTATAATCTCTGTAGTCGGAATACGACTTGTGCCTGTATTAAGCGCACTAGAACCATCGGGGTTATTTACCTCGTACGTTCCACTTTTAGTGTCTACTACAGAGATTATGTATGGACCTATCCATTTAGATGTTAATACAGTAGTATCGGAATTACGTTGACGGATGTTAACTCTGTCACCAACCTGATACTTTGCTATCTTCTTGGTAATGTTCCAACGCTTTTGCCTTTTCAATAAGGCTATATTGTGTATTTCTCGCAAGCAAGGATATAGAACGTTATAAATACGTTGGACCTTCTCTAACCATGGTAACTCATGGTGATCGGGTTCGTCCTTGTTAAAAGGGATTTGTAACTCACTATATCTGCCACGAAAATAGTGAGCGGGTGTAGTTCCTGTAACCGGATCAGCACACTCGTTCATCTGTGTTTGTACCCACTTAAGGTGGTACGGCCAATCATCTGCATCATCCGTTAATGCAGTACGCAAGAAGAACTTAAGTCTTCTATGGCGCGTTTCATTCGCGCCTTGCGTTTGCGGCTTATATGGCACACCTCTCTTATGGCATATGCCTGATACGAGTACTAGCGATTCCATAACGTTGTCGCAGAGCTCACTACCGTTATCAGTGCCCATAATACCCGGCCACCCGTGGTCAGCAAAGACTTGGCAACATAATTCTGCCACGGTCTGCGCATTCTTATCCTTTAATGAATATAGCAGGTTAAACCGTGACGCCACATCAAAGAAGCGGCATACGTAACGGTCGCCTGTGTTCTCGGACGTGGGCAGGTCAACCAGATCAATGATGACCCTGCGCCATGGAACATCTTCAGTCACACTCTTAAGCGGTGCGAAACCATAGCGCTTGATCTGATTGAGATCACAGTCTGTGCATGACTGATATACTCTGTCAACTAAAGTTGCCAGCTTAAGGTGCGCGATCCCATGTCGCTTAGCATCTTTAAGTGCTTCTACTACGTTCTGGTGCTTCAGCTTATGATAATAAAGGTAGGGTGTTGAGAATCCACTTGCGTGGTCTCTAGGTCTGTAGTGTTTTCATACTCCTGTCCTGTTTTTGCATGAGCGTCATAATCGCGCTCATGTGCGTTAGATACACCTGACTTATTAAATTGTCGCATTATAAGTGTATACGCTTCAGGATTGTCTTTCATTAATCCCTTTAAAAATAGGGTTTGAAAGACCTCGCGCTTGGACTTTATGTTATTAAACAGAGTCCTAGCTAGAGACTGACGCTTCTTAACCGTGTCATTAGTAGATTTTATTTCTTGTGCACAGATGTTAAATGCTGTGTTGCCTTTGAACTGCTTAACGTTCAATTGGGTAGAGAGTGGAATCTCT